ATGATGATGCGGAGAAGATGCAGATTCTGTCACAAGGTGTAGCTGCAACGTACCGCGCTGCAACTCCTGCTGCGAGGCAACCCCACGAGCACATGTAGCTGCATGCACAAGCACTGTAGTGAACTGTTAAAAGCACACTTGGCCCTCAGTAAGTCAGCCTTCAGGTAGAAGTATGCATAAAGGCAGCTGTAGACAGACCATGGCACATATTCGTTTACTCGTCGTTATACCCAGCTAGCTCCTACGGGTTCACAGTGACTGGGCTAGGGCCTCCAGATACAATCCACATTTGCCACTGCATTAAATTAGTCAGACCATCAGTTCAAAAGTAAGAAGTGTTGCTTCTTCTTCTCTACAGCGGTGAGCTCGCCGAGTCGCCGCTTGCAGCAGACATACTGACCTCTTCCTGGATACGAGCCCACAGAGTTGCAGGCAGCATAAACCTGGTGAGCGTAGCTCGTTAAATAATTCATTAGAATTATATTTACAATTTAAAGGGTTGATCCCAGTCCTTTCTCCTGCTCGGAGCAGGCGCTGCTGGAATGCCAGCAGTACAATCTGTAGTAATCTGTAGTGAGCAGCGGACTCACGGTGACTTACGTTCCTAGGGATACCTAATTTGGTGCACACTCCATGGGTGTGCTCTAAATACTGCATACTACCACTATATTAACCTAAATAATAAAATAATGGTCTCTAGAACATATTCGAGTCCAATAATCTAAAAAAAGGAAATCTCTGTGCAGTGAGTCAGTGTCCCAACCGCAGCACCAGTCACACAGCCAACTGCAACCCGGTGTGGCTGCCGAGCATTCTTGGCTTGGTTATCTTAATTTTCTATCTAAAGCAATACAACTTATCTATATGAGCATTATAATTATTTGCTTTCAGCTAACTAGGTCTCCGAAGGTTCCACTTGAGATCCATTGTAGTGCCTGTGCCCTACACAATCGCTGCCTCCCTGTAGTAGTAGCCGTACCACTGCGCTTCCAGGCGGCTGCTGTTAGTGTTGCTCTTGCGGCTGCCGTTGCTCTGGGTGGAGTTGGGCTTAAAAGAGCAAGCTGAATTATATTGATTGAATTCAGTTGTTTGTATATCGAATCTGCCTCTACACCCCTCCGTTTGTCTTGCTGCGTTGCGACTCCTGCGCAACAAACGAACTCCACCGGCGGCGCCCTGCTGTCCTGTATAGTGGCACGCCGTGGAGGCTGCTTGGACAGCTGCTGACAGATTTGTCTTTTTTTACGTTTCTGTCGGCTCACGTCCTCTGCAGATCTCTGAGACTTCCGCCTGTTCGCGACGGCAGCAGCGGCAGGCCATTCGCTCGGTTGCTACTGGGCGTCTGCGGCGGAATCTGTGCATGCACAGGCAGAGCGCAACGGGGCGCCTCAGTTCTGGGGAACACCTCGACTCGCCTTTTTGTCTCGGGAATCTCGCAGTCTTGCTGAATTCATCCCCCGCCTGCGCTCCACTGCGTGGTGGTCCTGCTGCTGCTGCCGCTGCTGCTGCCGCTGCTGCTGCCGCTGCCCCGCCCCCATTCCCTTTCCAGCCCCATTGGAGGACTCTGCAGAGACGGGCTTTCTAGACTGGTGGCGTATGCACTGCAACGCAGCAGCAGTCGATGTGGCGATCCGCCGCAGCAGGTTTTGCAGGTCAACAGGACACGCTGTACGTACGCGGGGGCCTTGCTCTCCTCAAACACAGGTCCAACGACAAGGAAGGCTTCAAACGCAGTGCTCTGTCACAACGCATTTGGTAGTGACAGAGTAGTCTGCCGTTCACAGAGTTCAAGTGGAGAGCTGAGAGAGCTTTGCTGGGCAGAGCTGCGGCAGCACTGCAGGAAATTGACTCCGAGGCATCTGCTCCGTCTTTGGTGTGCAACTCCCCTTCCGTCTCCTAAGGAACCCCATCACCATGGGGTGAGTGAAGGCCCACAATGCAGTTTGTCAGCTGTACCCCCTCACTTCCTCTGTATTCGCGGTGAACCCCCGCGCAGTTGCTGCAGGAGCGCATTCCGCCCGTTGCAGCATTTCCTGCAATTTGTCTGCAGCAACGCTCAGGGACAGCTGAGCCCCCAGGAGCAGAAGGACCTCGTCCAGGCCGCCAACTTTAGTGAGCGCGACATCAAAAAGTTGTACAAGCGGTTCCGCGCCCTGGACACAAACCAAAATGGAGAACTCGACCCCCACGAGCTTTTCGATGTACCCGAGATAGCAGATGTGCGTTTTACTTCTTTCGAGCATCCTTAAAAACCAATAATATACGCGTGTATATATTATTATCTATATTGGTGCGGCGGAGGGAAACGGTCAGCCGCCGTATTGAAGTAGATGTGGGGGGGTTTGACA